AAGTTCATTGCTTACTTGAAACGTCTCTCATCTCTCGGGGGAAGAGCTGGGCAAGTGGCTTTTTTTCCAGTGGGCGGTCATAAGAGCATTATTAACGGGATGACCAGCCCCAGACACAGCAAAATGAAAGCAACAGGAGCTGCTCGTGGGACTGCCTTTGCCACCACCCAGAGTCAGTGCTCAGGTAAAATGATTTTGGCTTGTTTTCTTCTTGTTCAACCTCCCAAAAGTGGATCAGGGGGACCTAGAGAAAAACCAAAGGATTGCTCAGGTTGATGCTGAAGGAAAGCTAGAGTCAAAAAGGAATACAGGCATTCATTATCTTTGGGTCTTTGGTGTTTTTGTTCTGATTAGGACAGAGCGTACATCTGAAACAGGAGAGTCTCAAAATAAGGAACATGGTGAAATTTCAGTTTGTTCTATAGATTTAGTGAATTCTTTTTTTCCTGTCTCTCATCTTGTCATTACTGGTCTGGGTTGTTGTTGTTCTGTTAAGTTACCTTCCTAAAGGGTGGATTACAGTAGCAGTTTCCAAGACTTTCTGGAGACAGATTTATTATATACTTGATGTATGTGCTTATCAACCATTCCTGCCTGGAGAAGTTCTTGATCCTATAGCTGGGGGTGGGGAGGGGCGGGGGTGGGAGTCAGGAGTATGAAGCATCAGAATCATCGGGGGGAATGAATGTTTGCAGCAGAACCTTTGTGAAAAAGAAGTGAAACCTGACTAAGTGAAATAACTTACTTTTTTCCCTTTAAGAGGCAATATTTACAGCTTTTGTTTGTTTCTATCATTTGTATCCTTTGTTGACTGTACATTTTACTTGCAAAATTAGTGCTTTATTCTTTCAGGGTAATCATGATACTTTGTTCAAGACACGAATGTCCTCGTTTTTGTTTTCAATACGATGTCCTTTAATTATTAGCCTTAGAAACCACTTCCCTATTACACATCACACATGACTGATAATGCAGAAAGACAAGAAAGAAAATAGCCCTTCATGAACTCAGTCATGGTGATGTGGCTGTTCTACCTTTAGAAAAGAATGTACAAAGTGATTTTCTAAGGTCCAATGGAAGCCATCTTTTCTAAGAGTACACAAGACTTCCGAAGCCAATTTAAAAAGAAAAGATTTTAGGGCATCCTGTCCATTGAAGTTTTGTATTAGAAGAGAATTAAAGGGTCAGTGAGAATCGTGGCATGTCAAAACTATTTCATGCTTTCTAACAACAAGGATAGCCATTCTGAGCTAACTTACTTGGATATTTAAGCCAAGTATGAAGCTCACGCAGAGCAGTTCAAAGCCTTTGGACAAAAGAAAAAGGAATTAGTTTGGGGAACAAGTTAAACCGTGATTATACTTCAAATTTATGCTCTTCTAGAAAATAATTTTAAAAATCTAATATCTACCCACACTGAAGACCTGAATAAAAGCATAATACAGCAAAGCCCACAGTAGAGCATAATCAGTTATGCACGATATTTTGTAGCATTTCTAATTCATGTGTTATACATTTGCCTTTTCTATTATGTTTTATACTTTTTTTCTGAAAAAAAAAAAAAAGAATTCAATTATGAATGTTGGAAAGATTTTTTTTTCTATTATATTCTTTCCCCTACTCTCCTCCCAATTTTCCATGCCTTTGCAAGGGAAATGGTTAATCTGCTGGTAGTAAGAAATAGAAATTGATCTTCATTCCTTTCACTAACAGTGAGGTGAGATTTTTGGCTTCAGGAAGGCAATTAAGTTTCTAAACTGAAACAAGCCAAGTTACTTTATTTTTAAAAACTAACCAATTGGCAATTTCTCTGTGTAGTAATTCCGAGTAAAACTTCTAGGGCCTTCCAAGTTGAAACTGGGATGCATGAGTGAGACAAATAATCAAGGTGTCCTTGGAAAGTCTAATTCTTTTGTCATGGTCCTCTAGATTCTCAAGTTAGGAATCCTGTTGGAATCACCTTTCTTTGTTAGAGCTGTTATAATGACACCCCCCCCTTTTACTTCTTGCTCCTATTACAATGTCTTCCTAATGTCCCACCCCAATCCTTTATCCTAAGGAGAGAGGTAGAACGCAGAGTAGAGTATGTATTACTCCACACGTGGGGACAGAGCAGGGGAAAGAGGAGAGAAAGGTGCTAGTATATGCTGGGTCTAAGGCATGCCTCTAGGAGTCCAACTCTGTCTAAAAACCAAGGCAATCCCAAGCATGCCCAGATGGTATTGCCCAGATCAAGGCTATTTAATATAAATAATATATAATTAGGAAAGGCAGTTTAGCAGAGTGGGTAAGTGTGTGAACTCTAGTCAAACTGCACAAGCTCAAACTCTGGCTTTAAAATGTCCTTGCTGCATCTCTCTGCCTCAACTCCTTCAATGGTAGAGCAGATATAAAATAACACTTCCCTCATGGTGTCCTTATGAGGACCCATGGAGATAATACATATATGGCATATTTCCAGGCACAAGAGGAGCCCTTCGTAAATGTTAAATATTGAGTGGCTCCTGAGTCCCAGGTGCTCTCCCTGAATCATGTGCTTTGGTAAATACGACAGTGTTCTGAGGTGGCTAGATTATCCTCATGTTAATAGAAAAGACTCAGGGAAGTTAAAGAACTTTTCTGTATGCCATTTTTTTGTGGCCAACTAGGACTTCTCAGAGCCTCTGATCCCCAACACAAAGAGAAATCAAACTAGGTCAAGACTGTGAGAGCAGGTTCATAGTGCTCTTCTCTGAATCTGCATCTGAACTTTCAGTACCAGAACCAAGCCAGCACTGGTCCCTTTTCTTGAAGTGAAACACAGTGTCCAAATAATAATGGTAACAACTTGGTGTGTCAGCTATTACTATTATGCCCATTTTATAGATGAGGAAAACTGAGGACCCCCAAAATTATGTGACTCTGTCCATGCTGTAGAGTCCCAGTCATGCCACTGTTTCTAATGGCAAACCTCATGCTCTATCCATGATACTGCCATGCCTTTTTTCTCTCGGGGAGTTTTGGTTGGCACTGCCCCAAATTTGCAGATGCTTCTCCAAAAGATCCTTCTGAATTCTCGCCAAAGTGGGCCACAAAGAAGAAAGGAAAGTGCATTCTACCTTTCCTGCTCCCCGAGGTGTAGGGAAAGTTGGTTTCAAATGTCCAGGGAGGAATATTTTTACCATCTTTGTGCCAAGAGATGTTATCAATGAAAGTATTCAGTGTCTAGGAAAAATCACAGCCTGTGAATAGTTTAACTTACAGGCTTTTCACAAAGATAAAGCCTGGTTATCTACGCTGCTCGGCTCATTTCTGTTGCAAAGATGCAGCCACTTGCTTTTCCTATATATTTGAGAAGAAAAATCTTTGTGAAGAGACACTGGGGCTTTCTTCATGCCCAGCTGACAAACAGAATTGCAAATATTACCTTTTGTGGTTTGAGGGTGCAGAGGGCCACCTGGACCCAGGGATCTCGAGGCAGGCTGGGCGCTCCTCTTCGTGTGGACAGTGTATAAACACTGAGAAATGCATGCATCCCCCCTGTTGCTACTTTTACGATGTTGTTTGTCATATGAGATAACTCCTGCCTTCTGTGCTGTATGCTTGCCTAGCCTCCATCAGGAGAGAGGAGAGAGATGGGAGACTAAGGGTTGAGAGCAAACTAGACCTTGGCACAGTTTATATAGATGTTTGGGTCCTTGGCGGAGTCAGTATCAATTACAGCCAACATATGGGGGCTTGTAACAGTTAGCAGTGGGCTCGGAGGCCAAATAAACCACGAAGTTGCACTTTGGCCCTGTATATTTCAAGAGTATAAATTTAGCCCTGATACTGTGTTAAAGAAAAGATGATACCATATGGAAATAACTTTACGTGATGCTTTAACAACTTCCGTCTTAAATGCTTAGAAAAGGAATCTTCTGAGTAGCTTACAAGATCTCATGGGAAACTCCTCTACTTTTTCAAAAACTGGTAAAGAAAGAGGTAAAGGGCTGTGGGATGGACACTGTGCTTTGGAACAAAGATGGTATAGTTTTCTGGAGCTTCCTTTATCCTTCTGGGAACGCAATCTCAGAGCCCGGACTTCCTGGTGGACAGTCCCAACAATGCCCATTCTAAGAAGCTGTGTTTCCTGTGCTGAAAGACATGTGGAATTAAAAAAAAGAAAGGAAAAGAAAGAGTGCTATCTTCCTTCCTTCTAAAGGCATTACCTGTGAAGTTCTGGACTGTGATGAAGACATTTATCTTCCTTATGCTTCCATTTCCTTTTTTTCCTCTGGCATTTAAGCACGGCTAATTAAGATTATTGAAAAAAAGCCATGATGGAATAGAGCTCTTGAATTTTGTAATTCTCTTACCACTTTTCTTTCTCTCTCTCTCTTTCTCTCTCTCTCTCTTTCTTTCTTTCTTTTTGGAGAGGTGGAGGGAGGGACAGAGGGAGAGAGAGAATCTCAAGCAGATTCCTCAACAAGATCAGAACCCAACATGGGGCTTGATCTCATGACCCTGAGATCATGACCTGAGCCAAAATCAAGAACTGAACACTCAACTGACTGAACGCCCCAGGCACCTCAGTTTCTCTTTCTTTCCACAACGAAAATCAAATGGAAGTGTTAGCCATGAGAACTTCATACCAATTTACATGTATTTCCTTCCACCCCTGAATATTTGTTATGTATGGGGATATAAACATACCGTAGCTCTGTGTTTTTCATTTCCTCCGTAAATAGCATTGTTCTCTGCCTTCAGAAATCATCAAGAATTTGTATATGGTTCCATCTCTAACATTTTTTTTTATTATGGTCATTTTCTTGGACTCAGTGTTACCAGGTTAACCTAATCAACAGGGACTGACAGAAATTGATTTTGTTATATGCACCGTTTATGTGTGAAGTAACCACAATTTCGATTTGGTTTATGAAATACTAGTCTATGACATGATTATGAAAATTTGCTTCCCCAACAAGAATACGTCAAGGTTATGTTCACCTTTTTCTTCTTCTTCTTTTTTTTTTTTTCAGGCTCAGAAATCCTGGATAGAAAGAGCATTTTATAAAAGAGAATGTGTTCACATCATACCCAGCACCAAAGACCCCCATAGGTAATCTTGCTGTTTCTATAATGAAGTGAGAACACAGAGTAGCAATTACGGGAGCACAACTACAATAGTAATCACATTCCATTGCAAGGGAACCAATGTCAAAGATTTTTATTTTTTATATTTGCTGGGCTTCTCTGTAACAATCTTCTATGTATACCCCACATAATATACCATGCCTGCGGTTAATTCTCTAAGAGCCTGTACAAAATAACAGATACCCCGTTGGGAAGGAATTAATCACCATCTATAAGTGGGTTATATGTATTTTTAGTATGGTTACTGATTTTCTCTTCTAAGCATTTCATCAAAATGCTTGGTTTGTACCAACATTCTCTGCTATAATGAAAAAGAGCTTTTTAAACAAAAGACTCCTAGCAGATTACTGACTAGACTGCTGACCAGCAAATTCCTGTCCAAGCACGTTTTTAGTATCCTACTTACCTTACCTTTAGTATCCTCCTTACCTCCCTCATTTTGCCTTAAAACATATGAGGTAAGAAGCATTTGGGATGCAGTAAATATGAATGTCTGGAAATGCCTTTATGGAAAGGCAACGTAACCAAGCAATTTAAAGATGTTATTTATTTATTTGACAGACAGAGATCACAAGTAGGCAGAGAGGCAGGCAGAGAGAGAGATGGAGGAGCAGGCTCCCTGCTGAGCAGAGAGCCCGATGCGGGGCTCCATCCCAGGACTCTGGGATCATGACCTGAGCTGAAGGCAGAGGCTTTAACCCACTGAGCCACCCAGGCACCCCACAATTTAAAATACAGTCTGTAGAGTCATATAGACTAGCTGTGTAACCTTGAGCATGTTTCCTAACCTTCAAAACTGCAATATTTTATTCATAAAATGAATGTGATCATCATTAGTATTTAATAAGTGATAACTATGTGTCAGTATTTTTACTAACAGTTGTAATAGTGGTACAAGTCTGAAGGATATGTACCAGTATTATTACTAATGTTTTAATAGTGTTAGTGGGAAAGTATAAAGGCCGCTTCCATAATGTGAAGATTGAATTTTTTTTTCAAATATCTTGTGAATAATATTTTCATTGTTTCTTTGGGAACACTCAGGCTGTAGGTTTTTATTCTCAGAATTGGACATTTGACAGTGAATGTCAGTTGGGGAAAGACAAGTTAGGTTGTGACTCACGTATAAGTGAGAGTCCTTATTTAAATGTGCATGTTAAAATTCTCCCCTCAAAGCTGTGCAGTGGCTTTCATGCAAGATTTGATAGATGGGAGGAGTGAAAGGTAGAAAAATCTGTAGGGTTTTTGTTCACAGGTTCTGATCCTGAACAATATAGCGGGTCTGAGGTGGGTGGAGAAGGCCGGGAGGCATGTTATAGCTTCTCTAGCTAAAGGAAAATGAGGAGGGCCAGAAAAGAAAATTCCTAGGGCAAGTAAATCCTGAGTTCACTATTTGCCTCATACAGCCACGTCATGGGATTCTGCCAGAGCTGCCGGAGAGCTGACTGGCTGGCTACGGTCTGTCGATGTCTCCTACGGGTCGTCCTAAGTGGGTGCTCCAATCATGGCAGAGACAGGGGATTCACCTTGACCTCTTCTGTTGCAGGTGTTGCTGTGGGCGTCTGATCGGCCAGCATGTGGGCCTCACTCCCAGTATCTCCGTTCTTCAGAATGAGAAAAATGAGAGTCGCCTCTCCCGAAATGACATCCAGTCTGAGAAGTGGTCCATCAGCAAGCACACACAGCTCAGCCCGACGGATGCTTTTGGGACCATTGAGTTCCAAGGAGGTGGCCATTCCAACAAAGCCATGGTAATCAGAAACCCATTCAGTCCCTTCCCAAGTTCTTCCTCACGTTTTGTGAAGGAGAGGCAAAGAGCCAGAGAGGGAGCCTTTGGGCTTGATCCCATGTCTGCCCGATCCCAGCTGGGCAGAGGGCTCTGATAACCTTGGCCTTGTGCATCTCTGCTCTTCTCTGTAGAATGGGAGGAAGAAAAGGTTCTTCCCAGAATTTTTTTAAACAATTAGTATGGTTACTGGACACAGTGGCTGTTGTTATAAATAATAATAACAAGTAGCTTTCTACAGTGACCCACTGTTTATACTGTTACTCTCTGGGTCTCATCCCTTAGGGCAAGTTTTTCTGTCTCCTTTGGTTAAAAAAAAAAAAATTCTTACCTTTAGGTTTCTGTTTTGTTCTATGGGTAACTAGCATTTCTTTCAGTTCAAGGTAGAAATGATCATCCCAGACTGTCCTACCAGAGATCTTGCCATCTAAAGCGAGTGCTTTTGTTCCAAGCAGCTGTGTCCAATAATGAGCTCAGGAGAAGAGCTCCATATGAAAAGCGTTTTGTTTGGAACAGAGGCTTTAGGAAATAATACAATTTTTACTTCTAAGAGTTGTTGCTTCTAAATTGCAGCTTTCATCATGAAACTCTCCCTCCTTGGCCGACAGATTTTTTTCCAGGAGAACAGTACACCATATGTTTTTGGAAATTCTAGAAATGCTCTATTTCAACAAGCTTGCTTCTAACAGAGAGAGTTAGTTGAGGCGGACCAGTGGCTGCTCTCAGGCACACCGGGAAGCTTTCCGAGTTTGGAGAGGAAATTTTGCTTAGAGCAGCATACTGCAAAATGCAAGGGAAGTCACCTTACACTAGTCACAGACTAAAAATGGGGAAAAAGCCACCTCTCTCCCCTCTCATCTCTCCTCCCCTTTCCCTCTATTCCTCCACTCCTACAGGGTTTTCTTCCCCATGAATGACTGACTGAGTTATTCTCATTGTTTTTCCCTAAGAAAATCAGTCCAGAGCTATACATTAGAGTAAGAACAATTTTGAGCAGAGTATTGGGAAGGAAAGGGTTCCATGTGCAGCCCCCAGTAAGGCCTGGGGGAAAAGGTGGCCTGTGGGGGGAGGTAGTTAGTCTTGGCCTCTACAGAACCAAGGGCAGTGGAAATTTGGCAATGTCCCCATCCACCCAGGGGATGTATTCCCCTACACAAAGTCATTAAAGTCCCCAGCTCAGCACAGTTCCCATTCACAGTATGGGATTGAACCATATACACTGGGGATCCTCTAGACCCGTGCATTAATTAAAAGCCATCTAAGTTCATCCTTTAAGAAAAGTGCTGCAAAAAAAAAAGAAAGAAAGAAAGAAAAGAAAAGAAAGCCAAGGGATGGAAATGGATCCATGAGGGGCCAAAGTTCTTCGCTAGAGATGAGACTATGATAATGCTGAGAATGAAGTGTGCCCCCCAGATGAGAGAACAGGCCACAGATGAGGAAGTGGGTTAGTAGACGGTGATCATCGTGGAGTGGTCTACCCAGTGACATCATAGGGTGCTTGAATGGTGCCTGCGAGCTTTGTGCCGCACGTCATACAGCTGATACGTGATATGTGTATATTATGACATTTGGCAGTAGAAGAAAAACTTGAAGAGGCAACTCTTCTGCTCTGCTCTGGGAGTGTGAATATGTATGACATTGAACTCCCATAGCCCTCCCCAAGCCCCATATAGCTCTGTGACACCCAGAACTATCTGTCAGCCATCAGGTCAGGAAAGGTCAGCTACAGGATTGTAGATCCCAGTGTAAAATGAAAATGTAGGCCCCCAGCTGGGGCAGGGAAAGCAATCTTCTTTTATTCCCATGGCTGACAACCCCAACTCACATAGACAGGCAACGATCCAGGGAATGGCTGTCTCTGTCATGGGACCTACTCGGGATCTGGTGTGGGTGAGACTTTCCAGCAAGTCACCTAGGAAACATACCACGGCCTGAGCAGCCTAAAGTGGAGACAGCTTCTTCCTTCTCTGTCCCTAAATGCTACAGGGAATACACCCGACCCTGCCCCTGTCCTTGCCAGTTCTCAGCTCCCAGTCAGTGATGGAGCATAAACCCCTTTGCTGCCCCAGAGGGACACTGGAGGTGGGAGCTGGTGACTGAGATCCCTTGTCCCAGGGAGGCAGCAGGAGGGGGGTGGGATGTGGGACCATGGACCACGTGTGAGCTGAGGTCCCAAGCCCTCTGCACATGCTCTCCCGTCCCATCAGACTTCACGTGCAAAACACAGATTCAAGGATAAAACTGTTAAGGACCTCAGGATAGCAGGTGCAGAGCATTAGACTAAGCACTGCCTTTCTGAGCAGTGTGACCATGAAGCCGGCCCTCAGATTAGGTCTTGCGTGTCCTTGATGGTCTCCTAGCAGACTCCATGAGGAGAAACCTTTCTTTCAGAGTCTTATCAGCCAAATGAGGACCAGTTTTCTTTCTTTCTTTTCTTCTTCTACTTTTTTTTTCTTCATACAACCAAATATTTAGTGAGTGAGAGTCCCTCCTATCCAGAGACAATGAACATTTTGTCCACTTTGAATACCCGGCCTTGAGTTATTCTGATTCTCTTGTCTAGACCAAGGGGCGGGGCTGACAACAGGTCAGATGTCTGGCTTTGTCAGGCAGGATGGTGGTTTTGTGCCAACGTGGGCCTCCCTTACTTCTTGCCCTCCCCAACGAACTGGCATGCAGTTTGGACAAAGGGAAAAATCAGCAGCTACTGTCTGTTAAAGAATGTCAGTCAGTCTTCAGATGGGGAAGGCGTGGCTAAGTGTTCACCATGATTGAAGGGAAACAGGTCAGCTAACTTGGCATCTTTGATCTGTGCTCCTGACAAGAATATTTGAAAGTTGAGATGATTTTTAGCAAAGTGGGCAAAAAACTTCTAGAGGGCAGATCAATTTTGAATTTTATTTTTTTTAATTATATACATAACATTAATTTTTACCTTCAAGACAGCCCAAGATGAGGCATTTGGGTCTTCAAAATGCCATTGTGGTCTGGACACATTGTGAGGTAGAATCCACCAGAGTTTGGTAGAAGGTTCGGTTGGAGAAAAGAGAATCTTTATTAAAATATGGTGGGCCATAGGGAAACCATAATCTGCTCGGAAACATTATGTCTGTGTGTCTTCCCCTAGGAAGTACAGCATGATGTCACAGAGCTTCGGTCACCCAAAACGCTGGAAAGATTGATACGGTGGCTCTCTGCTTGGGGGAATCCCAATGACCTTGGGCTACTACAGATGCCCGTGGCCAAGAATCACTCCCAGAGAGTCTCCCTCATTGGTCTGGGTTGGAACCTGGGCATTTGAAGTATTTTTTTAAATTAGCCAGGTTTTTCTATTCAGCTGGGCTCAAAAAGTACTAAGTAATCTCACCCTACCTGTTTTATAGATGAGGCGACCAGAGCCCAAAGAAGTTAAGTTCTTTTCCGAGAGTTACTCGGTTATTTAATGACATAGATAATTCTTGAACCGGGGCCCCTCCGGACTTGCCGTCAGTTCTGTGTCTTCTCTGTCCTGTATGCTTGGTATCGACAATAGATGTTTTGAAGGGAAGCTAATTACTATTCTATTCTAGCTCTCTTGTAAGGGTTTTGAAAACTTTGCAGTAGAATTAGAAAATTACTGTTATTTGATGAGGTTAATTAAACTCAAAAGCTATGAGCAGGAGGAGGTCTTTGTAAAATTACATCCTAGGTTAATGGGACCATTTTCTGAGCTTTTCCCAGCACTTTGTGGTATCCTGTCCTCAATTCCCAGGCTTCACAAGCCTGGGAATGTGCAGTAGCCCTGGGTCCAGCATCCCCCTCACTTCACAAAGAAACCCAGACCCAGGCAGGAGACACTCCCACAGCTGACAGTGAGTGAGGGATCCTCATTTCCTTCCGGTCTCGGCACCGGGTCAGGCCCTACCAAATTGCATGCCCCAAGTGCCATCCCTGGGCTACTGGGGCACCCGGCAGTTCATGCAGGTGCCTCCTAAATGTGAGAATATGAGGACCAAGGAAGAAGATGATAAGATACTAAAGCTGTGGGTTAGACATTGTCTTAGTAGAATGAGTTCTCGGTAACCTTTTAAAACTGACTTAGAGAGCAGTTGCGAGATGCGGCCCCAACAGCAGACGTCGGGCCCTCCCTCTCTCAAAGACTCTTCTTGATCTGGGGCTACGTCTGTAGGTTCTTTAGAAAACGGGGCAGGGCGGGACTCGAGTGTACAGAATCTTCTTTGCTACTAATCATCTCTTCCAATTAATGCTGAGCTGACTTGTGGACCAGGTAAGTATAACCTAATTAAGGGCTTGTATTTAAACCTCTCAAGTCGTTCACATAATTATCTTCAGGTTTTCCCTTGCTATTCACTGTTTATTAGATCAGGTTGAGCCCCTTATTACAGTTTTTATTATAATTTAGGTAATTGTTCCTCTGCCTCATTGTCACACTTAAAGCTCTAACTGTTGAGTCTGCTCGAGTGAAAGCCTCATTCTCTGAGCATGGCCAGTGGGAGGATGCTTCTGGGGGTGGAGAGTCCGTTGGCAACACGTCATCTATGATTGTATGCTCTTCAAACGTTTTGGGATGGAATTTGATTTTTTTTAAATTGTCTGTCTTTGAATTATGCAAATTTAATCTGGGACTCATCACTGACTGACACATACCAAATACAAAATTAAATGAAATCCATTTCACCAAACAAAACAACTAATCATTAGACGTTGGCTTACTAGGCAGCTTTCCATAGGCATGGTAAGGTATTTGAGGGGTTTGGTAATTGTTCCATTGATTTCTACTTTCTACCTTTTCTATCTTCAGGCCACTGAATTTGCAGTACCTTTGGGAGGGCTTTCTGAAACAGAGATTAGAACTAGAATATATCACTGAAACTTCTGCACCCAATCATAGACCTATAGGAAAGGAAGGAAAGAACCAGCCCTCCTGCAGGAAACACATTTTGCTTTAGAAGAGTCCCATCTTGT